CGTGATCAGAGAAAAACTCTTCAGGAAGGAAGTGCTGGGGAGGAGGGGACCCCAGAAGAGCTTTGCAACAGAGCCCATGGGGGGCTTCATTCTCCAACTTAACCTCCATGGCTTCTGCAGAATGAAAGGCGACTCTCTCCCATCTGCCTCCATCATGGAGCTGCAAGCAGCAGCAGGTTCTGCTCTGGGTGAGGTACGTCGGTTCCTCCGCACACCAAAGAACCCTCGGGACGTGCCGGGGGGAGAGGTTCACGTTCAGATAAAATAAGACTTTACAAGGTAGGAGATGGGGGTGGGAGCAAATGGCCGCTTTTGTCTCACGGGTCATTTTCAGGAATTCTCCTACACAGAATTTCAAGGAGCAGAAATGCTGACAAAACAGGGTTTGGTTATTGCTGCTGACTTTGGATCTGTGGAACCCATCATATCATGGGGGTTTTGTGCTTGCTCTGTACCTGGCTGCACCAAAACCGTCCATCTTCTTGTGGCGTCTGCTGAATGCCGACAAGATACACATCAACATCAGCATTATTCCCAACATGTCCATTCCACACTGAGGTGCCTGAAAACCAGTGGTACTTGGGCTTCTCCATCAATTTTTAGACTTGGAAAATCCTACACTGCTCTGCTCCCAATTGCCAAGAGCACAAGGGTGGTTATGACTTAACAGAACCGTAACCCAACATTTTATCCAGCCAAAATTTGAGGTTTAAAATGCCCCAGAGAGTCCTTTTCAATAGCAACATTTGTCTTTTCTGGTACAGATGCATAGTTACTGGATCTGTCCCCCTCCTTCTTGCACATGATGGCACCTAGACTCCCCTCCTTTGCATTTTATATCTGCTCTTCGACTACAACCCTTTCTTTAAGAGGGATGACCCCAACCTCCTCAGGATGTTTGCACAAAGCACTGGTGAAAGAAAGAAAGCCCCAGCTGCAACCCCATGGGGCGCCAAGTTGAAGACAGACCACTGGAGAAGATGATGATGACGACCTGGTGCTCAGCCAGGAGTGGCAGCAGCAGAGGAGGAGAGCGACACCCAGACGTCCGCAACCACCAGCCCCACGCCGACAGAGCCACAGGCTGACAGAGCTGCCCAGACGGGCAGTGCCAGACCGTCCCCACCCAACCGCGCTC